ACTCCTGCCAGAGTGGGTCTTTCATTTTTGCTGTAAATTAGTTATCTTAATCCTGGGTTTTCATGAATATTTCTAGTTTTCAATTAGTACTGAGACACCGTAAGTTTGACTGTGGTGGAGTTGTCAGTCGGGAGGGCTGCACGCTGTGGTGAAGGCACCAGAGGTGCTCGCAGGGGTGATGAGGCGGTGGCTGGAGCAGTGTCACGGGGAGATGGGTCTCAGGACGTGGTACCTGGGGGACTGCAGCAGCCAGCTGAGAGTCCAGGAGTGACCTCGTGACAAAGCCCGGCCCCAGGGCCAGCGAGGAGGTGGCCCGCGTGCTGCAGCCTTGCTAGGGAGGGTGGGAAGGGTACTCAAAGCCCGGCTTGGCAATTTTATCCCAGCGTATTCTGGTTTTAAAGCAAATCCAGTTGCAGTAGTGGGGCTTGCAGCCGACCAGCGTCGTCCTGCCAGCCCCTCTGAAGCAGGGACTGGGCTCCATCATACAGTAATGGTTTGGTTGAAGTAACAACAGCGTGGTTGAAACCAGATGCAGAGAGGTGGATAGTCTGCAGGAAGTAAGCATACCTCAAAAGCGCTGAAAAGTCAGTTTTCAGGTTTTGGGATCCTTTTTGCTGTTCGCAATCCAAACTGGCGTTTATCATACGGCCGCGGGATGTTTGTTGATACTACTTATGTTGAATATCCCTTTTGGCACAAAATTCAGCCCTTTCTCATAGCCCCAAAGTTTGCTGCTGGCTTTGGGTGTATGGGAAAGACAAAGCAGCCTTGCCTGTATCGCTGCAAGAAGCAGCTCCCCGCACAGCTAAAGGCCGCAGCTTCCCAGGGGCATGGAGAGCTTGCTCGACACCAGGCTCTGGCAGGGTGGGGAGGGCAGAAAGCAGGCAGCTCCCCCCTCCAGCGTGTGGAAGATGGCGAGGCACAGAAGCGCTTTTGTATGGCAAGCCTGGGTGAATCCCGCTGCGCTGGGCCGTTCAGTGGTTTCTCTCCTGTTGAAACAGGTGGGCAGCCTCATCTTTTTCAAGTGCCAGAAGGGCTACCTGCTGCAGGGCTCCACCACCAGGACCTGCCTCCCCAACCTGACCTGGAGCGGCGTGCAGCCCGACTGCGTCCGTAAGTCTGGGGGGAGGTGTTGGCAAACGAAAGCAGGGCCTTTGAGCGTGCTGTCGCCTTGTTTTGTTGCCGTGCTTCACCATGAAAATTGCTGGTATCCCTGGTATTTTGGGGGGAGAGCTCTGAAAAAACATATTCTTGAAGAAGAGGGAGATCACACAATCACTTCTCTGCTGACGTGGCTATACCAGCAGCGGCTGCTGATTGCAGCTAAGATACTTGTCCCTCAGAGATACAGTTTCAGGTGAGACTTTGTTTTGTGCTTCTGAAACCACATTTGGTGGCCGAGATGTGAGCTCGTAAGGTTAACGTTTAGCCAGAAGGGCTCTCCGGCAGAGCAGCGTTTCTCCTCACCTTTAATAAGGTGTTGCTCTTCCTTTGAAGCTGTCCATCATCTTTTCCCTGCTACACCAGAAGGAGTTTAATGCATTTAAGTGGTAAGATCCATCACGGCCTCTGTATCAGAAGCATTAAAAAGCTTTTCCCTTTCCCTTGTGAGGTGGTTTGTTGGTGAGATCTTTTTCCGCTAACGAACCCCATAGGTGCTGGTGCTGCGAGCAGCCCAGCCGGGACACCTGCCCTTAAACACGCGCACACGCAGCATCAGCGGAGGGGGGGTTGTTCTGGACGGAGCTGCCCTTCCCCGCTGCTCGCCTGGGTGGTGGGAGCGCGTCCCCGACACCGGGG